CGTGGAAATGTGACGGCTTTGACTACAACTGTATTAAATAAATAAGTAAGGCTAAGTTACAGGTCAGATCTATGGAGAGGCGACCCAGCTCACACTAAAAATCATTGTTTTTCACAATAATAAAAACACCTGTAATTAAATAAATGCAAGATATATGTTTTAAAGCAGACCTGTAGTGCTTGTGTTTACTCTATAGTTATAATCTACAACACACGTGGATTTGTCGTAATCTGGACATTTTAAATCACAATATTGATCTAAAACGACTTAATAAAAAAACAAGAGCTCTGATTTCTGCGTTAGAAAACTATGGCGTCCAATGGGAGCTGATGTCGCAGTAAACGTCATAAAGCTGCAGGTCACAGCAGCGAGCGAGGATTAAAGGTTGTATGGAGGATTATTTTTTTTGTTTAAAATTGTCATTGAAAGTTTAAAATACCATTACAGAGATGCAGCAGCTTTTTAATTATGATGACCGAAAAAAAAAAGAATGAAAATCTATCAGTTGTGGACGTAGTGAGGACAGATAAACATCAGCCAATAGAAAACGAGGCTGCCTCATTTTCTATTGGCTGTTAGGTTGTCAATCAAACTCCCTAGTGTAACTGAGTCGTCGGCGCTCGGGGATTACGTGGTTTATGCGGCGGTTCTTAGAGGCTTTTTCATACTGTCACTCCCTCGCATTTCGCACAAAGTTTGTTGCGACGGCGGACGAGAATCCACGACCAGTTCGCCGCAAAAGAAAGTCCGAAGGGTCTAAAAACTGACGCGTCGGTCGCTAAAATATTTCTAGGCAGGTCACTTCAACGGTAATTCTGAACACGCACTGGATGTAAACAAACGTGATTTCTAGAGTAAAGAGGCGGGAGGAGGAGATGTTTCTACGATGGTCGCTGTATTTCACTTCCCTTAAAAAATCCTCTATACAACCTTTAAGTCGTGTTGTATTCAAGACCGCACAAATCGAGACCAAGACCAGTCCGAGACCAATGTCCCGAGACCGAGACCGAGACAAGACCAAGACCACAGTCCACCGAGATCAAAGCAAGACCATCTTTGTCATTTTCAACATTTATTTGTATTTTACAGATATTCTGGCACATGTATATCAATGTTTTTGTAGATTTATCTCTATTTTATCTAATGATCTTTTAGGCCTAAAATAAGCCAAGCAAACTGTGCTGCACTGAAACACTCTGCGCACCTTTTTTGGACCTTCACCCACAGTTTGAGAACCTCTTATTTAACAGAACTTCCACTGGCACTTTACACAAAACTGAAGAAAGGGAAGAAAGCGAATAGGATTTTTTAATTTGTTTCTAACTGGAGTTACATTCTCTTATCCTCTGCACATTTACCAAACGCACGTCGTGACAAACACAGATGCATTTGTGCACTTTTATTAGACAAACTTCAGCCACATGTCGCGGTAAGAAGTTTATTACCGACAGCAGCGACCGTAATGAAATATGATCACACTCGACGAAAGTAAGACCTCAAGTCCGAGACAAGACTGAGTCCAAACGGCTTTAAGAGCGAGTCAAGCCGGAGTCCAAGCACAGTCGAGTCCGAGACGTGACTAAGACGTCGGTCGGTCTCTCGAGATCAAGACCGGGCTCGAATATTACGACACTAAGATTAAGATTAAGAAAGTGGCAAAACCCCAAAATGCACTTAAGCAAACATTATACAAGCATATACATACACATACACATGCACATGCACATGCACATACACATACACATGCACATGCACATGCACACATGCACATGCACATGCACATGCACATACACATACACATGCAATTTGACATTTTCCTTTTCAGATAACAGTATATTATTCATTTTTACTGTGCTTCATCCAAATGGGGTTTTGCCACTTACTTAATCTTAATCTTAGTGTCGTAGTATTCGAGCCTGGTCTTGATCTCGAGACCGACCGACATCTTGGTCACGTCTCGGACTCAAATACTTCGACACTAAGATTAAGATTAAGAAAGTGGCAAAACCCCATTTGGATGAAGCACAGTAAAAATGAATAATATACTGTTATCTGAAAAGGAAAATATCAAATTGTATGTGTATGTTTGTATAATGTTTGTGTAAGTGCGTTTTGGGGTCGCCAAGAAAAAAAAAAAAAGCTTAAAAAACGTAAATGTAATGAGAGTATGGAGACTACATGCTGTACCTTTATACTTTAAAAAAAAAAATTTTAAAATTATTTTTTTAAAATAAATAAACTTTAACTCTAAACAGAAAACAAAAGATTTAAGGGAACAGAAAATATGTAAACACAAATTTGATCCGACAGCTCTAAAATGTAAATACACACATGGAAACTCTGTCCACTACCTCTTATTTTTATTTATTTATTGTTTTGTTTTTTTTGTTGTTTGTTGTTGTTGTGTGTGTCTTTTTATTTTTTTGTATGTTTATTAGTCTTATATTTTGTTATGTCTTATATTTATTTTGTCATTAATGTGCTGGGTATTCATTCCCCTCAAAGTGACAAAAAAAAAAAAAAAAAAAACAGAACTAGAACTAAAACCAGGTCTAAACCAGGTCTAAACCAGGTCTAAACCAGGTAAACCAGGACTAAATTAATCCATTCCAGGACTAAACTAGGACTAAAGGGAAAAGCTAAACCAGTAAAACCAGTGACTTTTTATTGTCTTTTAAGTAAGACAAAAGTTATTATGTTCAGATTTCCTCGTCTTTGCTACTTTACAACAAACAGTTTCTTATTCATGGAGACTTGGGCTCAACAGCCAATTTGGAGAGATTTGTTAAACAATAAATGACTTTATAAAGTCACTTTTTTTGTTCTATATCAGTCTTTTGATCTGCCACAATAATGTAATAATGAATTTAAATGAAAATACCTCAAGTTGAAGCTTTTCTCAGCAATTTTTAGGTGAGATTAAAATGAGATTAATTAGATTAATTAATTACAGATCATAATTAATTAATCTCTCAATTTTTTTTATCGCATGACAGCACAATATATATATATATATATATATATAATATATATATATATATATATATATATATATATATATATATAAAAAAGATTAAGAGCAGAGAATAAGTAGAGAGCAGTGTCTGTACGTTGCTGCTGCTGGTGGTGTTGAAAATTGATCGAATTAAACTGATCGACAAAACGGCGTCGTGAAATTAGTAACTCAAGATGACTCAAACACGCACGAATCACTCCAAATACAACTTCAAGACGGTAAATGAGAAGAAAACAAATATAAAATGGTTAAAAGTAATAATAGTTTTGCGTAATAGAACTGTTTTAGCCAGCAATAAGATCTGGAGTGAGCAGGTAACTTCACAGAGCACATTTCATTTACTCCAGTGGACTCTCGTTTACTGTAATGACCCGAGTTCCACCTCTTCTGTCCTCACAAAACAAAAAACGGGAATAAATGTGAAGCCCCGCGAGCTGCCGAGCTGCTCTGGAGCCGGAGTGAAGACGAGATGCTGAGGGACGTGTGTAGGAGTGAGTGAGAGTCTCGTACTCTCACCGCTTCAAAGAAAGAATTTATTTTAGCTCAGCCGAGTAACCAGCTACAACGCAACCGAATCAAATACTCAGAAACGCAGACAATACGTGAAAATATTACAAGTTAAAGGTTCTATATCGAGTCTCGTGAGCCGTTAGAATGTTTTACCTCGTCAAAAACCTGGACCTGGAGTTGTGTTTTGTTGGTTTAATCTTTTATTATTAGTCTGTTTACATTTCCAAAGCTCAAAATGAGTCCGTGCACCATTCATACTTTTCAATTTCGTTTTAGGACGAAAATTATTATTTATTTAATTTTTCCGTTTCAGTCAAAAACTCATTTTGACCTCTATTTTCAATATTCAATTTAAAGTTTATTTATAGTCTCGACGCTTATTTGAATTTTGATATTTTAAGCTCTTATTTTTTATATTTTATTCTCATATTTCTTATTTTATTCTCTTTTATTTATTTGCTCCGGACGTTCTGCTGCAGCGTCAAACATGGACGTATAATCAAAAATGTTTTTATTATAGTTGGAGTCAACTGAACAAAGGAGAGTTTATCACTGCTTCCCGTTTCTCATCCTGGAGTTCAACAAAGACCAGTGTTGAGGAGTAACAGATTACATGTACCGGAGTAATCAGAGTACAAATGATGAGTAACTGTATTCAGTTACAGTTACTGTTTCAGTGAGTGGTAATTGGATTACAGTTACTTTGTTGAAATAAATGGATTACACGGCGGGACATTTTCACATTTTCACTCATTGCCGGAAACAAAACCAGGTCTAAACGAGATCTAAACCAGGTCTAAACTAGATCTAAACTAGATCTAAACTAGATCTAAACTAGGTCTAAACCAGGTCTAAAACCAGGTCTAAACTAGATCTAAACTAGATCTAAACCAGGTCTAAACCAGGACTAAACCAGGTCTAAAACCAGGTTTAAACTAGATCTAAACCAGGTCTAAACCTAAAAACCAGGTCTAAACCAGGTCTAAACCAGGTCTAAACCAGGTCTAAAACCAGGTTTAAACTAGATCTAAAACTAGATCTAAAACCAGGTCTAAACCAGTCTAAACCAGGTCTAAAACCAGGTCTAAAACCAGGTCTAAAACCAGTTCTAAACCAGGTCTAAACCAGGTCTAAAACCAGGTTTAAACTAGATCTAAACTAGATCTAAACCAGGTCTAAACCAGGTCTAAAACAAAATTTAACAGGACTAAATCATACTGTATGGACGAGTTTCTTCTTCTATGAATAATACTTTTAATTTGGTTCAGTAAAGTGTTGTTTTTTTATTTTCTTTTATCAGACAAAACATCTTGTTACTATTTCCTCGTCTTTGTTTCTCTACAGCAAATCAAGTAATCCAAAGTATTCAGATTACATTACTCACTTTAATTTAATGGATTCCATTACAAACTACATTCTGAGGTATGTAATCTGTAATCTGTAGGGGATTACATTTTAAAAGTCACCTTCCCAACACTGACAATGACCTTCTAAGACATGAAAGTAAATGTATCTCTATAAAAAAAAAAACATGTTTGTCCACGAAACTGCAACGGTTTTTCAGGTGAGTCCTTCAAGCAGCAGAAGTTCCGGGGCAAATAAACCAGAGGGAATAAAATATTAAAATTGAAATAGGTACAGAGACTTTTCTGTTTTTTGATTGGTGTTATTTGAAATAAACTTTAAATTAAATACACGATTCATGACTCAGTTTCCAATTTTGTCTTCACAATTTTTTTATTGATTTGATTCCATTTCATTAAAGAGATGTAACTCGCTAACACATAACCCTTTTTTGTCCAATCCAAATGTAAAAAAAAAATCTCACAAGGTCATTTTTCTATCATGTGCACGATCTTGTGGCAATTTTGTCGACTGTCCCTAAGTGGTAGTTTTCAAGTTAGTGGTTCTTTTTACCTTTAGTTCAGTGGAGATTGGAAATTCCAGAGCTGAAATCATCCAAATGATTCTAGTCAAAGTCTAGTTTGAGAGAAGAACTCCGAAGCCTAAATCTGCAGCGTTTGTGTTTTAAACATGTGTGAATGAAACAAAACGACACTAAAACATAAAAATAAACCAGAAAACAGCTTAAATTTGACGTGAGTGTGACAGTTATTCGGCAGCGCGTTGGTGAATAAGTCCAGTTTTACTCACAGCGGTGCTTTAATAAGACGTGTGGAGGTGGTGCTGTGTTTTGATCTGAAAATACTTTGGAGCTCAGAGCTTTATGGTGTAGTAATAGTTCTAGTTTTTGCTGGTGAAGTTAAATCAGATGTTACAGTCGTTTTACTCTCCTGAAGTTGTATTTTGGAGTGATTTGTGTACGTTTTAATCTTTAATCGCTTATTTTCAAGACGTCGTTTTGCTGATCAACCTCCGTTTTCACCTCCAACTGCGCACGTCCACTGCTCCGTACTTATTTCAATCTCCAATTTTATTTTCTAACGCAGAAGTCAGTCATTTTAGATCAATATTGTGATTAAAAATGTTAAAAATTATAACTACGGAGGCACTACAGGTCTGCTTTAAAGGGGCGCTGTGTAACTTCTCTGCTGGAGAATGTTCCACAGTATGGCCCTAAATTTATGAATCTCCAAGGAGACGTTTAAGTCAAATTACAGGTTTGTGGAGAGGCGAGCCCAATCATGGTAGAGGTCTGTGCGGGACAGAATGTTCGGTCCCGGTTCAGTTTCCTAAGCTCTATCAAACACGGAGAAGCGGAAAGGAATTGTCTAAAATGTGCGCGAGATTAGACCACGTCCGCAAGTTTAAGCTGCTTAAAATGTTTTTATTAATGCCAAATAAAATATCCAGCACAAATGATGTATGACAGGCAAACATTATTCATTTGTATATTTTACTTTACACTCATTTAGTTTGCGGGACTGCGGTTTATCATCCCACCCGCTCCCGCATTGAGCTTTTAAAATGTGTCCCGCACCGCACCGTTTTGCGTCAGGTCCCGCGGGTCCCAGGGCTCTAATGTAGAGGCTGGAAAAATGCCAGTTAGAAATCAGACACCCCTCAAATTTTACTTTCCTATTTGAGTATTTTATTTTTATTTCATTGTATATAATTCATGTGGTTCTATTATCTCTATTGAGTTAACGTGCAGTTCCTTCACTGACCAGTAGATGGCGCATGTCGCAACGTTGGTAGAGAGTAGACTGAGCGCTGCAGAAGAAGAAGCAATCTTCTGTTGTGAAGTAAAGCAGCTCAAAACGTGCTCTTGTCTATTCTTTTATTAACAGGTTGGTAACACTAAAATGACAAGTTTTATGTCAATCGTCAAAGTTATTAAATGTCAAAGGTTACTCCGTGCACAGTAGGAAGAAAGTGGAGCAAAGTTTGTAGAGGGTTTCTGAGGGAGTTGTTATCGTGTTGTAAGCTAACCTGCTAAGCTAGTGGTCAAGTGTAAGGAAAGTACAACGTGGCTAAGCTAAAGCTAAAGCTAACATAAATCAGACTAAAGCACAAGGAACCATTTGAATTATATTCTTTAAGGACATTTAGGAAATAGTTTTCATGCAATAGTGCATTTACTGGATTGTATGTCACATTAAAAGTGTACATTTTGAGTTTATTACCAAGTACCAAAAATGCTATTGTAAATGTGTAATAAGCACATGTTGGTCATGTGAGTTTGGAGAGACCAGCGCCATCTTATGGACACTCACTGAATTGAATATAGTGATTTCAATTATCTAGTATTTCATGGGTTGTGGTTAAAAATATAAATATATGTAGAAGTTAAAATGAGTTACAGATAAATAGAGATAGAAACAGTAATTCATTTATGTAATTGTGAACTGTTAAAAAGACTTAAAAAGTGTATCTACAGTGTTTTTACAAATATGTACAAATGTTATTATTTAGGGATTCATGTCACTTGGATTACATGTAATGTTATGTGTATGAGAAGAAGAAGCAATCTTCTGTTGTGAAGTAACGCAGCTCAAAACGTGCTCTTGTCTATTCTTTTATTAACAGGCTTACTTCACGGAGGCATATGCCCTCTGAACCACTGGTCAGAGGGGCAACACTAACAGTACGAATGCATATTTTTTTAAAGATATTTTTGAGTTTTTTAAGATATTTTTGAGCACTTAAACAGCTGTAGTTGAATAAAAGCAAGATAAGATAGTTTAATGCCGTACTGTGGACAGTTTAAACCAAAGCGTCAGCATCTCCATGGGGACAAACAGGTAGCACACCCCCTCCAGAAAGGTTACACACTGCAGCTTTAGGTTTAGGCTAAGATTAGGTTCGTCTTGTATGATGTTATAGGCAGTGTTGGGGAGTAACAGATTACATGTACTGGAGTTACGTAATCAGAGTACAAATTATGAGTAACTGTATTCAGTTACAGTTACTGTTTCAGTGAGTGGTAAATCTAGGAAATTACAAAGATGGTGTTGATTTGGTCTCGATGGGCCATGGTCTCGACCTTTAAAAGTCTTGGTCTCGTCTTGGTCTCGACTTTCAGAGGTCTTGGTCTTGTCCCGATCTTTGGGACCCTGTGGTGTTGGACTGGTCTTGGGTCTCTGTTATGAAGACAGGGCTGTATTATAGCGTTTATTTAGTTAGGGTGCAGTACCAAGCCTGACCACTAGGGGCGCGGCCGTTTTGTGAGCGCATGATAAGTTTTAGTTTTCTCATTATTAGTCTGTGCATGGTGAGGTGTGTTGTTGTTCCTTTTTGTTGTGGTGTGCGTCCATGAGACAGGTGGGTGTTTTACCATGTTAAATTAGGGTGTTTAATGAGGAAACGGAGTGTTCACAGTTGTTCAATGTTATTTATGCAGTTATAACGCATATTAGCTTCAATGCTAATTTTTGCTAAGCTACTTTTCATTTTATGTATGCTTTATCTTATTTAATTCATGTTAGTCAAGTCTTTTGTTTATACGACTCAGGTAGCCTTATGTATATTTGGGGATTGTGTTTGACACAGAATGCCTATGTTTATTGTAGTTCATTACTAGTAGAGGTTTTGAGGCCTACCTTTTTTCACGTGTCTGCCGAGTACCCGTTGGTTAATATATATTTGGATTTATATTTCTATTTGCCTAATAATGTGTATTATTATTGTTATAATATATTGTTATGTTATTTTTGTTCCTTTTACTCTAGTCTATTTCTGATATTGTGTTTATTTGTTTGTTTACAGAACCACACATATATACACATGCCCCCATACTCATCCCATCGAAAGACAATAAAGAAGTAAAGATCTTCCGTCTCATCCTTGCATTCTGACCGATGCACACTCCGCGATCACAACCCTACTGAACCAAACAGTAGTAGCAAACCTCCATAACAGTCTCGATTAGTGTGGTTTTGACTAAGTTATAATATCCATATCTTACCCTCCGCTGGTTTAATTTAGGTTAAAGTTAGTTTAGTTTTGTATGTTGTTGTCGTGTCCGTATCTTACCCTCCGCTGGTGTTTCCGTTCTTGCTGAGGTGGGTGCGTGGCTCACTGGAGGCCAGCTTCAGTAACTCGTTCCACTCTCTCTCCCACTCCTCCTCGGTGTACACCAGCCCCGACTGACACACAAACACACACCAGCTTTTTATAAACATCACACACAAGAATCCATGAGTATATGTTTATTTTATTTTCAGACCTGTATATTATAAAACTTTTTCTGATAAAAGGTTTCACAAAATGGACTCTTGAGAGCTTTAAAGGTTGTATGGAGGATTTTTTTTTTGTTTCAAACTGTCAATGAAAGTTTAAAATACCATTACAGAGACACAGCAGCTTTGTAATTATAATGACCAAAAAAAAAAGAATGAAAATCCATCAACTGTGGATGTAGTGAAGCCAGATAAACATCAGCCAATAGAAAACGAGGCTCCCTCATTTTCTATTGGCTGTTAGGCTGTCAATCAAACTCCCTATGTTTCTAGTGTAATTGACTCATCGGCGCGCTGGGATTACATGGTTTATTCAGCAGTTCTTAGAGGCTTTTTTAAACTGTAGCTTTTTCGCAATTCGCACAAAGTTTGTTGCGGTTGCGGATGAGAATCCACGACCAGTTTGTCGCAAAAGAAAGTCAGTTTGAGGTCGCTGAAAGAAGAAGAGAAGGGGAAAAGGAGCAAAACCTAACTGGGGTGATTCTTGGAGATTCCTTCCAGTAATGGCGCGACTGAAGCAGACGAAGGGCCTAAAAACTGATGTGTCAGTCGCTAAATTATTTCTAGACAGGTCACTTCAACAGTAATTCTGAACACGCACGGCTGTAAACAAGCGTGATTTCTAGAGTCAGGAGGCAGGAGGAGGTGTTTCTACTGAGGAGCTGTGGAGGAGGGAGGTGGTGTCACACATGCACAACATTTGAAAAAGGACTGTGGCTGTATTTCTCTTCCCTTAAAAAATCCTCTATACAACCTTTAAGTCGTGTTAGAATGTTGTTCCCTTCTCAAAAACAGACCTGGAGTTAGGGCTGTCACGATAACCGCAAAAATGAATCACCACGGGACTAAGAGGCTCAAGGCGGCGCATGTTGGGCCGACGCGATCACCGCACATGACCACGTGACCCGACCCAGAGTCCTGAACGGGTCCATTCTTAGAGACCCGCACCCGCCCGGACCTGTTAACATTCCACCTGTTACTGCCCGTGCTAACCCAGGACTAAACCAGGACTAAACCAGGACTAAACCAGGACTAACCCAGGACTAAACCAGGACTAACCCAGGACTAAACCAGGACTAACCCAGGACTAACCAGGACTAACCAGGACTAAACCAGGACTAAAACCAGGACTAAACCAGACTAACCAGACCCAGGACTAAACCAGGACTAAACCAGGACTAACCCAGGACTAAACCAGGACTAAACCAGGACTAAACCCAGGACTAAACCAGGACTAAACCAGGACTAACCCAGGACTAACCCAGGACTAACCCAGGACTAAACCAGGACTAAACCCAGGACTAAACCAGGACTAACCCAGGACTAAACCAGGACTAAACCAGGACTAACCCAGGACTAACCCAGGACTAACCCAGGACTAAACCAGGACTAACCAGGACTAACCAGGACTAAACCAGGACTAAACCAGGACTAACCCAGGACTAAACCAGGACTAAACCAGGACTAACCAGGATTAACCCAGGATAACCCAGGACTAAACCAGGACTAAACCAGGACTAAACAGGACTAAACCAGGACTAACCCAGGACTAACCAGGACTAAACTAAACCAGGACTAAACCAGGACTAACCCAGGACTAAACCAGGACTAACCAGGACTAAACCAGGATTAACCCAGGACTAACCCAGGACTAAACCAGGACTAAACCAGGACTAACCCAGGACTAAACCAGGACTAACCAGGACTAAACCAGGACTAACCAGGACTAAACCAGGACTAACCCAGGACTAAAGGACTAAACCAGGACTAAACCAGGACTAAACCAGGACTAAGGTGCGCCCACGTAGACCGCAAGTGAAAGGACCGGTGTAGAGCTCCACGCTGCATGGCGGTAAGTGCAGCCGTCGCCTGATCGTGCTTTGCGTACACCCTGCTCTGCCTGCTTGGGCTCGGGGTTCTCTCTCTCTTATGTCCGCGGGTACCTGACCTGGTGCGGGACTCTGACCCGACCCGGTGCGGGACTCTGACCCGACCCGGTGCGGGACTCTGACCCGACCCGGTGCGGGACTCTGACCCGACCCGGTGCGGGACTCTGACCTGAGCTGCCACAGTGAGAGCTGGAGATGCAGCGGCACTTGTTCCACACAACAACCAAGGTACATGTGCATGTGGCAATAAGAGCTTCATCAGAGAGTTTTCAAAGCCGCTGGAAATATTATAAGTCCAGGGGATGTGGGTGCGACATCATCTCATACCGCGGTGTTGAGCCACTAAACTGCACTGCAGGAGAAATTCCCTAACGGCGACAGCCCTACCTGGAGTTGTGTTTTGTTTCATTCACTCTTTCATTTTCATTTCATTCATTCAGTTTTCATGTTAACAGTTTCTTTTACCTTTACCGTTTTCTGTTTGAAAGAACTCAGCCTAAATGTGCAGCATTTGTGTGTTAAATGTGAGTGAATGAAACAAAACACAACTCCAGGTCTGTTTGTGGTGAGGAAATAACATTATAACAGATTAGAAAATAGTGTAATATGGGCTCTAACTACAACTACAGCTCAAATTATGTCACACAGGCCTAATAATCGTACAAAAAATACAAAGCAAAGGCCGAGTACTGCAAAGAAAAAGTGCACGGATATTTCTGAGTGTGAAAAACTCATGGACATACAGTACGTTCAGAGTCTGTGGGGTAATTATGGTTCTGTGAGTGCGAGTGTGGTACCTCTTTGTTCTGCTGCGTCTGCTGCCACCTCCACCTCCTCTTCAGCGCGTCCCTCTCGGCGCCGCTCTTCATCATCGTGTACAGAGACTTCCTCAGCATCAGGTCCCTGTCGTGGAAGCCCCACATCCCTGAAGAGACAAACACCGGGTCAGGATAAACACAAACACACACACAAGCAGAGAAGAGGGAGGAGGGTGGAGGGTCTGTCGCTTGCTTCTTGTTTCTATGAAGATGTGATTGCTCTGCCTGGAATGTTCCACAGTGTGACATTAAACAGCTTTACTTTATGTTTTCAGTATTTTTCAGACTATAAGTTGCGCTTTTTGTCATGGTTTGGGTGTTTTCTGCGACTTCTACTACAGTACGACTTATATATTGAACTCTTCAGACTGACGCACACAAGAGGGCGCTCTACATTTGTGTATCAGTTTTCTGCGCATGTCTCCTGCAGAAAAAGCCTCTGTCCTGCTGCGAGTCGTGAAATATTCAGCCGAAAACAGTAATCGAGCAGCAGAAAAAAGTTTGGAGTGAGAGAGAAACTTGTGAGGGACTGACGGAAAGCGGGGATGGAGAACACGGCCGCATGGAAACCGGGAAGGTGCAACATGAAACTTTCCTGACGTCACTGGATGGATGAACAGAACCTGGACTTCAGCGACAATGAAACCATCCTGTCGGGATTCAGAAAGACCCAAATAATTCTAACTGGAACTGATGCGGAGTCTGACGACAGCGACGCAGAAGAGGAAAGCATTTGACGGACCCTCCACCAGAAAAGTTACAGAATAAGTCTTCATCCTATTTCTTTGTTTCTGGGTCTGGGTTGCCTTGTCATGATCTGCATGTGGGTCTGTTGTATACAGTTCTGACATATGAGATTTTCAGTGCTCACAAAAATGAAAACAAAGCACAGAAACAGACTGAAGCTGCTCCTGATCTGCTGCTGCGTCTCCTCCTGCACCTGGACTGGAACACGACATAAAACACAGACAGGCCCAACTATCTCACTAGAAATGTTCAAATCTAAGACATGTTTTGTATCATTTCTAATCGTTTTGTAATTATTTTATTGACTGTATTGTTCCAATGTTGCTGGTTCAATTGAATGTTGAAAAGAAAAAGAAATGGGCTACATTTAACGTCCAAACAGGTGACTTATGGATCCTTTTATTTCTGCTTCAGTGACTGTTTTTTGTTGTTTAAAACTTGAAGAAACTAACTGTTTCAGCCAAATAAACTTTTGTCCAGTCGACAAACTGAATTTCACCTTTGCCATGGATTCTACCTGGACGACTGAGGGATTTTGCACACTAACTGTTCAGACACGATCACTCAGTCAGCAATAAAATACCTTCATTAATGTTCAATAATGCTCAAATCCACCTTTATTTTGTGATTTACGAATAATGTCTATGGACTTGGGTCGCAAAGGTTTGTGACTTTTAAAATATGAGTCTTCAGAAAAAAAAGTTTGGGAAACACTGATGTATATTACACAAAACTGACTCTTATGAGCTTTAAGTCAAGTTCTTTCCTCCTCAAAAACAGACCTGGAGTTGTGTTTTGTTTCATTCACGTGTTCGAGTAACTCTTTATTATTAGTCAGTCTACATCTCCGAAGTTCAAAACACTCTGTTCCACCTTGTGATGTCGTGGAGCGGTAGTTCTCAAGTGAACAGCTCCTTTTGTTCAGTAGAGATTGGAAAATTCAGATCTGAAATTGATGATTCTAGTGAACGTGTATGTATTTTAAAACACAATTGAGCATTTCCGGTATTACCACATGACATCACAAGGTGGAACGGCGTGTTTTCTGTTAAATCTGCAGGGTTTGTGTGTTAAAACGTGTTAATGAAACAAAAAAACACAACTCCAGGTCTGTTTGTGATGAGGAAACGACATTAGAACACACAAATAGATCAGAAAATAGTGCAATATGAGCGCTTTAATTCTGTAATTTTTTTTGTTGCGTCTCAGATTTAAACAATTTTACAGACTTTTTTATGTTCCAATTCCGATATCGATACTTTTTTCGAGATGTCCGTTTGCGATGAGGAAACGACATTAGGACACACATCAGAATAGTGTAATACGTCTCTTTAAACAGCCCTGGTTCCCCGTCAGATCAGATTATGAAAGCTTCAGCGGCACGGGGCCCCGGCGAAGCCCGACTCCGTCCACAGGGAGAAGAAGCAGCACACATGAATTTATAATCTCTCTGCAGTGAACCTCGGCGACGGCTCAGGGGAAGAACCGGTGTGTCTGTGCTGCTTTAAAGACACATTTAAACCCTGTTAGAATCTTTCACCTGCTCAAAAACCTGGACCAGAACTCGAGTTGTGTTTTGATTCATTCACATGTTTGAGTAACTCTTTATTATTAGTCTGTTCGTTTTTCAATATAAAACCAAAAATATGAAAACGAAAAAAAAAAGACTGTTTTCTTCATTATTTGTCTCCAAAACCAAAATGAAAAAAAAAAAAAAAAAAAAAAAAACGGATAATGATTAGTTTTTTTCAGTTTTTGATTTTGTGTTTAAATGAAAAATGGAAAAAACAGATAACGGCCGTTTCTCCTTTAGGTGACTTCAGTGACTGCGATGCCGGACTTTTGCACCGCGTACGGACTGAACCGGATCAGAACAAGACCGGGACTGAGACCGGGACCAGACCAAGACCGAGACTGAGACAGAGATTGAGACCAGGCTGAGACCAGAGCGGGACTGAGACCGAGACAGAGATCAGGACTGAGACCGGGACAAGACCGAGACTGAGACCGAGACTGAGACCAGAGCGGGACTGAGACCGAGACCATACCGGGACCAGACCGAGACTGAGATCAGGACTGAGACCAGGACCAGACCGGAACCAGACCGAGACCTGACCGGGACCAAACCGGGACAGAGACCGAGACCGGACCAGGACCAGGCCGGGACTGAGACCGAGACTAGGCCAGGACCAGACCGGGACTAAGACCGAGACCAGACCAGGCGGGACCAGACTGGGACCGAGACCAGACCAGGACCAGGCCGGGAACAGACCAGAGGCTCAGAGCCCACGACAGGGCCGGAGCTCGAAGCTGAGGCTCGGACCCCATGGAGGTTCGGAGTCAAAGCTCCGAGTCCATTCCGGTCCCGCTCTGGTCCCGGACCTGGTTCAGTCCTGGTTCAGTCCGTATGCGGGTCAAATTTGAAAAAATCATATCATGTGCCAGGATTTGGGTCACTTCAGGCTGCAGTCTGAACGCAGCCTAAGTTACAGTCAGATCTGTGGAGAGGCGACCCCGCTCACAGTCAGAATGTCTGTTTTTCTAGATATTTTTGAGCTGTAAATCCACCTGCAATTGATTAAATGTAAAGTCGAGCTGTTTAATGTCACACATTCCACGCAGCAATGACGTATCCACACAAACAAGAAGGTGATCGACGCCCAAACACAAAGTTACTGCTGCACTTGTGATTTCTTGTTGTTTTATTCAGGCCGGGGTTAAGACGGTGAATGTTCCATGATGCTGACGTCGTACAGTGTGAAAAGTGTAAAAACCACAGCGTTAATTCAACTTCATGTGGGTATTGTTCATCTGTGCAGGAAACACTCTGCAGCTGATGTCATCAAAATTCCCTGTGGGCGTGAAAACAACGGAAATCTCTGTCAGAACTTCTGTTACTCAAGTTCGACTCAATCTGAGGTTTACTTTAACACGATCGGACCAGAAACAGCTGACTCAGTTCGAACTACAACGGTAAAATAAACCAGCTACAAGTTGCCCACAGTTTTTCAGTTTGTCACTTTCAGCTTTTTGTTGAAAATGAATTTCCAAAAACAGAACCATGAACACTCAGACTGATCACAGGCTCCTGAAAATGTGCTGTTTAAATCCATTTTGTACGATTTTAAAACTTTTTTTGACCATGTTTGCTGACGTGAACAAGGTGGCATCATGGAAGAGCTCAATTATTTTTCCTCTTTTTTATTTATTTATTTTTTCACTTTTACCCTCTGTTTTTTTCTTTTCTGTTTCATTACTTCTATATAAGAAAAACAGAAGCCGTTCTTCTTGACTCGTCACCACTTTAAACCTTGACGTTTATACTTCCCATTCCCATCAAGTCAACATGTCTAATGCCTTTTACTGTTTCTCTAAAGTCTCTAATATCACAATGAAAAAAAATATAAATACTTGTAAAACACGGCAAGAGTGAAGTCACTGCAAAGTATCAATTGTGAGTGGAAACACATCCAAAAAAAATAAATAAATACAATTAATTTGGTGGGATTATAGCTATTGTAAACATATTATAGTTATTATACTATTATACTGACTTAAGTTGAAAATTACAATAATCTAATCTTTTCTTTTCTAATATTTTTCTGATTTCTTGCAGACAGTGAAGATGACTGAGCTTGTAGTATATAAATGTGCTGTGACAGAGTAAAAAGTCAAAAAAAGGTCAGAGAATTATAATAAAAGGGTCCAGTCAAACAGAAGTAAACAGCAAGACCAAAAATTCAAGTTAATTCATCTGATATAAAAATGTATTGAACAGATACATATGTACTCTAGTTTATGAAACTGTTGACCTTTTTTCTGTACCATTTTTGGTTCTAAAGTTCCATACGTTTTAAACAGACCATGTATGAAACATGGAACAAAAATTATTTCCTAAATTTCAAAGACCTGAAAATCATGTCAATAAATGGATGTATTTCATCATATCTTGTGTTATTCCATTTTTGAACTGTTGATGAAGGGACATGATTTAAAAAAAAAAAAGTATTTAAAATGATAAAAATTTGCTTGGAAGGACTGACATATTTTATAGAAATAGTTTCCTTTCATTTTGAAGTAATATTAAAGTATTCGGAAGAAAAAAGTGACAAATTATGCAAAATCAAGCACCTTCTACTTGTTTGCACAATTTTCCCTCCGTTACCATGACCTTTCTGAATAAAAAATCTCATGAGTCAAAAAGTAAGAGGTTTTTCAACCTAATCTTGTACCATATGGTAGAAAACTATATGAAGCAAATATTCAAACCAGTTTGTTAAGGATATGTAAGTGAGAACCAAGAGTTATCACTGTTTGGATTTATTGCCCAAAAAGTGCTGCATATTTCATTCCCTCCGTTACCTACATGAGTTTTTAAATTTTTTTGTCAACAACTTGAAAGAATATCACAGGTTTAACTTGACCCTGTTGGAGTGTAACTCTTTCCTACATTCTGATACTTTACTTATTTCAATAGTTCCTCTAGTTTCTGAATAAGAGACATTTGAATGTCAAAAATCTGCCCCTGTTTCCCTCCGTTACCACTTGACCAGACCCAAAAGTGCTTTAATGATTACATGAGAAAGCCAACGAGTTTTGACAAACCTCTTCAAGTTTTTAAACTACAAGCTCGCTCATCTTCACTGTTTGTATTTGAGGAGAACCTTTTCTGAACTTTGACCTAAGATCCCCTGCAGCTCTCAGTTCCTCTGTGTTTTTAAAGATTTTAAAATGTCTTATTTGTATTTGTCAGATAATAATCTTTTTTGGCCCAGTCTACATCATGTTTGTAACAGTTCTGCAGACATGAAACTAGGTGGGTCCGGGGTCTAAAAGGTGAGCAGGTTCACTCTAGGCCCCTGCTCCTGTGTTGTTGTTGTTTTCTCGCCGTTCACGCTCTGGTCCGGCAGCACGAGCGAAGTGAACTCCTTGCCCTTCGCGTTAATATCAAAGTCGTTCTATATAAAGCCCGTGCACGCGGCGGCCGTACTGGAGACGCCTCCGGGCATCTATTTCAGGTTAATAAGACCAGACCTGATCTAAATGAACGGCGATTCACCAGTATGTGCACTCTGACGCCCACGAAAACCATACGCCTGAAATCACAATGAAAACTTGATTATAATGGCTGGAAAAGTTGGCTGCTTTGTATAAAAATCTTTTTTTGTCATGGGTTATTTTGCACCAGTGTCACGGCTCTTGACACAACACTCGTCATATTTCTGTTACGATGTTTCCCTCTACATTTCAATGGACGATTGGTCAAGTGCTCTGTCTTCTTGAATTAGAAAGTCTCACCCCTCATCAAAACAGTAAATTTTGCCTAAAGGTGAGAGATTTTCATGCCTGGTTATGGAATTCCCTTGTGTGACGTCATGGTTTGGGGCGGCAGTAGCTCGGTTGGTGGATCATTCGCCCACTGATCTGAAGGTTGGAGGTTTGATTCCAGCTCTCGACATAAACATCACAGGTTGAGCGGTCACATCCACTGACCCACAGGTTGGCTGGTGTGATTCCAGCGCCAACAGATGAATGCTGTCGTTGTGTCCTTGGGCAAGACACTTAACCCACCTTGCCCACAGTGTCTGCGTACACTGGTGTGCGAATGGGTGAGTGGTTCCTTGTTGTAAAGTGCTTTGAGTGCCTTGAAGGTGGAAAAGCACTATAGAAAAATGTGACCATTTACTGTATTTTCCAGGTCATTAGACGCGCTCTTAAAGGTTGTATGGAGGATTTTTTTTTGTTTCAAATTGTCAATGATAGATTATAGAGATGCAGTAGCCTTGTAATTATGATGACCAAAAAAAAGAGAATAAAAATTCATCAACTCTGGACGTGGTGGGGCTAAACATTTGCCAATAGAAAAGACACTGCCTCGTTATCTGTGAGCTGACAGGCTGTCAATCAAACTCCCTACGTTTCTAGCGTAACTGACTTGCCTGCGCCGCCGGTACGTGGTTTACGTACGACTGTCACACAGTCCACAGACGCAAGACGCACAGACGCTGTTTACTCCACCAACGCAACAGTTCTTAGCGGCTTTTTTTGACCTATATCTTCCTCACAGTTCGCACAAAGTTTGTTGCAATGGCGACAAGAATCCAGGAGCAGTTAGCCACAAAAGAAAGTCAGTTTTTGAGGTCGATGAAAGAAGAAGACAAGGGGAAAAGCAGCGAAGCAAACAAAACCACTCACCCATCACACTGTTGTGTTTCCTTTAAAGTCCCACGCGGTTTATTTGTGAAAAAAGTTCAAAAATAGACCATTTAATGACAGTGCGCCTTATAATCCAGAGCGACTAATAGCCTGGAAAATACGGTACCATGATTTCCTAGTCTGATTCATCAGCCGGTTTCACTTGGTGGAAACAGTCTGACCTCGCAGCATTAGGATTCTTTCACTCATACTTTTTTTATTTAACCAATCGCTGCTGTTTGGTCGTGACGTATGTAAAGCGCCAAATCCCGTAGGGAACCGCAACATCATCCCACCGTTCAATAGACCCTCTATGCCGCCAAAAGTCCCACCGTGAGTGTGCCTCTAGTAGGGGTGGGCGATATCTCGATATTTTTAATATATCGAGATTTTTTAAAAACTCGATATGAATTCTGACATATCGTATATATCGATATTAATGCTTATATTCAATTTTGATTTTGCCGCTTTGCTTGTTTGTCTTCTCTGTCATTGCCTCCGCCTCCCTGATTTTGTTGCTCGTGTCTCATTCACTCGTCACTATCGCCGTGAACGCCGAAAGTTGGTGCCAGTGAAAAGCTTCTAGCGCCACGAACCTTTTCCACCATTTACAGACAAGACCATCAGCAGCACATCCTCATGTTCCACCGAGTCGCGTCCTTTAGTCCAAAAGAAGTTGAATCGCAAGAGCGGCACGTGGAGTGAACTGTTTATGCAAATGAGCCATGCGCTTTTTAAGTTTCGTTTCTGTAAAACGTAAACAAGTCTGCGCAAAGCTGCAAAAAAAATAAAATAAAAAAATAAAATAAAATAATTAACACTATTTTCTCAAACGGGCTGATGTGGCTCTTGAGTCGTTATGTTTTATATATTGTAAAGTTTAGTAATGTAAATTCTATTTATGCAGAAGATTTTAATGAATAATCTGTTGCAGTGTCACTTGTACAAAAGTGTTTGGAAACGTTGGGTTTGATCTGCAGTGGATTGTGGGATTAAACCTCAGAGCTCCTCACTGCTGGTGAGGAACATAGGATCTGTTAAAATAAGGAACATCCTGAGCTTCTTCTGTTAAATGAGCTCATGGTTCTGATTCTGGTCTGGATAACAGAGTTAATGCAAAGATGAGCTTGAGTTGAGTTGTTTTATTTATATTTATATTTATTTATATGAAACAAAGGAAATATGTTTTATTTCTTTTAATACAGTTAAATTATTATTTATGTAATTAGGGTTTTTTTGTAATCTTAAATGTTCCTATATGAACTACTGACCTCTTACACTTTAATTTTTTTAAAAAGGACCTTGTGGAATTTGGCAGATTTGTTTTTGCAGTTTTTTAGGGGGTTATTTTTTCTTGAACATATATCGAGATATATATCGTATATCGAGATATATATCGTATATCGAGATACAGCAAAATATATCGAGATATATTTTTTGATCCATATCGCCCAGCCCTAGCCTCGAGTACAACAGGCGCTGGGGCAGACGGTCGCGCTGACTGGACGTCCCTGAGCAAAAAAAAACAAAACTGTTGTGTCCTGTGTGTTATATACGTATATTTTTAATTCTATACCTGAGCGGCACATAACAATTGAGTTCGGATCGAGTCCACAGTCACGTGATCGGATCGGGACAACCCTAACTCTAAGCTGACATGAGGAACTTTAACGATCTGAAGTGTGTGTGTGTTTTTACCCAGAGAGGCGGCGTGTAAAAGGCAGTTCCCGTCTCCTGTCGTGGCCAGAGGGAGCAGCTTCTTACAGCTCGTGCACATCGTCGACCACCAGTTCAAACGACCTGCTCACAGAGAACAGAACAGAAAGTACAGTCAGCTCTTCCTCCTGTTCTAATCTTAGCAGGAAAGAGTAAACGTCTCCCAAGTGTAGGACGTGTGACATTTTCAATATTTAGTTCCATAGTGAAAGATCCGGTTTCATAGATATCAGGTGATGTGGTTTTCAGATTCGCAAACGTAATGATGTCATGGTCCCAGATGAGGCAAGAGACAGTTCAAGTTCCTCTTAATTACATGTAGTTTTTTAATTTTTTGTTTTAAACATTAAATTTTTAAATTGTTAGTTGTTTTTATTAGGTGAAGTATTTATGTGACTGTTCCATGAATGAAGGAGAAACTGACTCCAGGAAGATTGGCTGTGGTTCTAGAGCTAATGGAGGTCAAAATAAATGCAAATAAATACAAATTATGTTGTTCTTTGCCATGAAACTTGACCTGCACCGTGTTACAACAACAATCTGCATTTGAACTCTTCACTGCCTCCGTCTGTGTTGAGAGAAGAACTCCAGGTCTGTTTGTGACGAGGAAACGACATTAAAACAGACATCAGTTTGGTAATTTTTGTCATGTTTTCATCATTGATGTAATTCATTTCATTTGTTTTGATTTAATCTGTACTTAAAATGCATGATTTTTGGTCATTTTGTTGCTTCTGTGCCATTTAGAAAAGTGACTTTAACTAAGGACTAAACCAAGACGTAACCAGGATTTAACCATGACTAAAACCAGGACTAAATCAGGACTAAACCAGGACTAAAACCAGGACTAAAACCAGGACTAAACCAGGACTAAAACCAGGACTAAACCAGGACTAAAACCAGGACTAAAACCAGGACTAAAACCAGGACTAAACCAGGACTAAACCGGGACTAAACCAGGTCTAAAACCAGGTCTAAATCAGAACTAAATCAGGACTAAACCAGGGCTAAACCTGGATTTTACCAGGACTAAACCAGGTTTAAAACCAGGACTAAAACCAGGTCTAAATCAGGATTTAATCAGGACTGAACCAGGTCTAAAACCAAGACTAAACCAGGACTAAAACCAGGACTAAAACCAGGACTAAAACCAGACTAAACCAAGACTAAACCAGGACTAAACCAGGACTAAACCACGACTAAACCAGGACTAAACCAGGTCTAAACCAGGTCTAAACCAGGACTAAACCAGGACTAAAACCAGGTCTAAAACAGGATTTAATCAGGACTAAACCAGGTCTAAAACCAAGACTAAACCAGGACTAAACCAGGTCTAAACCAGGACTAAACCAGGTCTAAACCAGGACTAAAACCAGGACTAAACCAGGTCTAAACCAGGACTAAACCAGGACTAAACCAGGACTAAAACCAGGTCTAAAACAGGATTTAATCAGGACTAAACCAGGTCTAAAACCAAGACTAAACCAGGACTAAACCAGGTCTAAAACCAAGACTAAACCAGGACTAAACCAGGTCTAAACCAGGACTAAACCAGGACTAAAACCAGGACTAAACCAGGACTAAACCAGGTCTAAACCAGGACTAAACCAGGACTAAAACCAGGACTAAACCAGGACTAAACCAGGTCTAAACCAGACTAAACCAGGTCTAAACCAGGTCTAAACCAGGACTAAAACCAGGTCTAAAACCAGGTCTAAAACAGGATTTAATCAGGACTAAACCAGGTCTAAAACCAAGACTAAACCAGGACTAAACCAGGACTAAAACCAGTACTAAACCAGGTCTAAACCAGGACTAAACCAGGACTAAAACCAGGACTAAACCAGGACTAAACCAGGTCTAAAACAGGATTTAACAGGACTAAATCCTGCTGTGTGGACGTGTTTCTTCTTCTATCAATAATATTTTTAATATTTTTTTTTGGTTCAGTAAAGATTCTGCCTTTTTATTTTCTTTTATCAGACAAAACAACTTATGTGAAGATTTCCTCGTCTTTGTTTCTCTACAGCAAATCAAGTAATCCAAAGTATTCAGATTACATTACTCACTTTAAGTCATTTAATGGATTCCGTTACAAATTACATTTTGGTGTATGTAATCTGTAATCTGTAATCTATACATTTTAAAAGTCACCTTCCCGACACTGCGGACGCCCGACCAAAAAGTTACACGTTGAACCTTTAAATATTCCCCGCCCTGACCTGCTTGCTCCAGGGCCATCATGGTGGACTGCTCGATCAGGTCCCTCTCGATGAAGCTGCGGAAGTCCTCGCTGTAGACGCTGAGGTCGGGCAGCTGAAACGTGTAGATGGGCATCTCCAGGGGGAACTGCTCGCTGGTGCACTCCGACGCCACCTGCAGGCGAGCCAGGGACACGATGGCCGAGCTGGCGTGGGAGATGCCCCGGGACAGGCGCTTCTCTGGAACAAACACCAAGAAGAAATGAGTCAGGCGGAGTTTAGTGAGAGTTAACTGAGCCTTTGGTTATAATTGTTCTGTTGGTAAAACCTGAGCAAACAAGACAATAACAGAACGACGCTTAATGTTTAAACAACTTAAATGACGCAAAAGTGACTCATGTGAGCTTTAAGCCGCGTTATAATACTGTTACCTCATCGAAAACATGCCCCGAGTTGTTCTGTTTCATTCACACGTGGTTGAGTAATACTTTATTATTATTCTGTCGACGTCTCGAAAGCTTAAAACGCTCCGTTCCACCTGGTGATGTCATCGAGCGGTGGTTTTCAAGTGAACGGCTCCTTTTTTTCTTTTAACTTTAGTTCAGTCGAGATCAGCGATTCTAGGAGCGGAAATGCTAACCAGGTAAACCAAGACTAAAACCAGGACTAAATCTGGACTAAAACCAGGACTAAACCAGAACTAAACCAGGACTAAATCTGGACTAAACCAGTATTAAAACCAGGACTAAATCTGGACTAAAACAGGTCTAAAACAGGACTAAATCTGGACTAAAACCAGGACTAAACCAGGTCTAAATCCATGTCTAAGCCAGGTCTAAACCAGGACTAAACCAGGTCTAAAACAGGTCTAAAACCAGAACTAAACCAGGACTAAACCAGGACTAAATCCAGGACTAAATCTGGACTAAATCCAGGACTAAATCTGGACTAAACCCAGGACTAAAACAGGTCTAAACCAGGACTATACCAGGACTAAACCAGGTCTAAAACCAGGTCTAAAACCAGGTCTAAGCAAGGACTAAAACCAGGACTAAACCAGGACTAAACCAGGACTAAACCAGGTCTAAACCAGGACTAAACCAGGTCTAAAACCAGGTCTAAGCAAGGACTAAAACCAGGATTAAACCAGGTCTAAAACAGGTCTAAAACCAGAACTAAACCAGGACTAAACCCAGGACTAAATCCAGGACTAAATCTGGACTAAAACCAGGTCTAAACCAGGTCTAAACCAGGTCTAAACCAGGACTAAACCAGGACTAAATCTGGACTAAAACCAGGACTAAACTAAACCAGACTATACCAAGACTAAACCAGGACTAAACCAGGTCTAAACCAGGTCTAAACCAGGTCTAAGCAAGGACTAAAACCAGGACTAAAATAGGTCTAAACCAGGACTAAACCAGGTCTAAACCAGGACTAAACCAGGTCTAAACCAGGACTAAACCAGGACTAAACCAGGTCTAAACCAGGACTAAATCTGGACTAAACCAGTATTAAAACCAGGACTAAATCTGGACTAAAACAGGTCTAAAACCAGGACTAAAACTAGGTCTAAACCAGGACTAAACCAGGTCTAAACCAGGTCTAAACCAGGTCTAAACCAGGACTAAACCAGGACTAAACCAGGTCTAAACCAGGTCTAAATCAGGTCTAAAACCAGGTCAAACCAGGACTAAACCAGGTCTAAACCAGGTCTAAACCAGGACTGGACCAGGAGCCAAACAGTTTTTTCACCTCCTGTCGCCTTTTACCTGTTAAAGTTTCCCTTTTGTACGTTTTGAGTTTCCTCAACTACACGTGAAAACTCATTAAAGAGTTTTTAGCTGCACCTGAGTCGTTCTCCGTGGATTTATTTCACTTTTGAGGCATTTAAAAAGGAGGAACAAGCTGCACAAAACATCAGTGGCTTCACAAATGTTTGCACTTCACCATCAGAAAATCGTGTAATATAGTTCCTTTAATAAACCATTTGCTCATTATGAAGTGAGTCTTTGTTCATGATTTATTAAAGCCGTGAAAGTTTGGGCTGTTCTAAAGTGTTACTCAGAACTGTGATATCAAACATATTCCACACCGCCCCCAGAGCTGGCACCAGAGTCCGGTCTGCAGCGCTCTACACCCACATCCATAACAACGGAGCTGGAACATTAGAGACACATGTTTGAAAAGCAGCTCCTCTTCGCCGCTCTCAGCTTCAGGTTTCAAGACTTTCATAATTAAAAACGACGTCATGTTTTAGTCAGTCGCCATGGAGACGGTGATTAAAAATACCTCCTGAAACCGCGTACTGTAAATTAAACATAGACTCGATGCTCAATACTGATTCAGATGATGATCATTTAAAAACGAGCTTTATTTAGACAATAGGACACAGGTGTCAAACATAAGGCCCGGGGGCCAGATCCGGCCCTCCAAGACCTTTAATGTGGTCCTTGGGTGATTTTCTACTAAAATATTTTAATTATATTTTCTATTAAAATATTGTTAATTTTCTGTGGTGTTTATCACAGCAGCGTCTCTAGCGTCTCTGTACGTGGCCCCTCCCACCAGAGCAGCACAAATGAAGACTTGTCTCTTTCCAAACGCTCTTAAAGGACGATCGTTTTGACTGTTGACCGTGACACCCTCATCAGAAAAATGTCCAACATGAGAAAAGTGGAGCCGAGTGCAGAATTTTACAACAAAAATTGACTTATTCCTGTTTACATACAAGTTCATGTTAAAACATTGTGTTGAAATTGTATTTTTCTTAAAGTTTCAGGTTGTTCATAATATTATCATACAATAATAAGAAAGAATTAATCACTTAGTTTAATGGCCAAAGGAAAGATCATGAAAACCTGAACATTTGCATCATTTTATAAAAATTAAAAAAAACTGGACCACCAGGACAAGACGTGGAAAATGGACATGTCCAGGGAAAAATGGATGTTTGGTCACACTATGCAATGTACAGCAACCAACATTCAGTTTGTCGATTAAAAATGAACGTAATCAATGCAATTCTTAATGATCAATTATCGATTAATCGACTAATCATGCCCATCCCTAACATTTACTGAAATGCTGATTAATGTACACTGTCCCTGCTAAATAAACAAAACAAATAAATTATAAAAACAATATATTAAACAGGTTGCAGGCTCAAGGCGAATCAGGTAGGAGGTGATCAATGACCACAATACCTATAATGTTATGTAAAATATGAAACTTTATAATGTTATTAAAGAATCTTTTGTTCTGAATGCACTTTTTAGACTGAAACAAACATGTTATGGACATTAGTTTGCATGTAATTGGTTAGCCTCTGCCATGTTTTTGTAAAGTCTGTGGGAAAAATTCATGGAAAATTGACTTACGGAACAGCCCAAATGAGTATCTAGTTTGGATACTAGTTTTGGTATCGGTTAGTATCTGATTTTTGATACTTAGACTAGACACAGTAGCTCACACTTGACAATATATTATTATAATTTTTTTTAAATCTGTTGCATAAGAGTAAGCTGTTGTACAGTTGTGGGGAGTATTATCTGTTATATTGTACAGTTGTAGGGAGTATTATCTGTCACATAAGAGTGACTTGATGTTCCTTTGTAGGGAGTATTATCTATTACATTGTACAGTTGTAGGGAGATTATTGTATTTGTCTGTCACATTGTACAGTTGTAGGGAGTATTATCTGTCACATAAGAGTGAGTTGATGTTCCTTTGTAGGGAGTATTATCTGTTACATTGTACAGTTGTAGGGAGTATTATCTGTCACATAAGAGTGAGTTGATGTTCCTTTGTAGGTAGGGTAGTATTATCTGTTACATTGTACAGTTGTATTATCCGTTACATTGTACATTGTGTTTAGGGAGTATTGTTTGTCACATTGTACAGTTGTAGGGAGTATTATCTGTCACATAAGAGTGAGTTGATGTTCCTTTGTAGGGAGTATTATCTATTACATTGTACAGTTGTAGGGAGTATTATCTGTTACATTGTACAGTTGTAGGGAGTATTATCTGTCACATAAGAGTGAGTTGATGTTCCTTTGTAGGGAGTATTATCTGTTACATTGTACAGTTGTATTATCCGTTACATTGTACAGTTGTAGGGAGTATTATCTGTCACATTGTACAGTTGTGGGGAGTATTATCTGTCACATAATGGTGAGTTGTTGTATGTGTGGAATATGGTATTATGGTATGACGGTGCTGGTGGAGAGGTGCTGGTACCTTGTGCGCTGTCGTCCTGCTTGTGGGTGGCGCTGCGCTCGCTCTTGCTGTTGTGGGTGGGCGTGTCCCGGCTTGCCTGGGGGGGCTTGTAGTAGCGTCCCTCGTTGAAGGCCTGCGGCAGGTTGGCGGTGTGGACCTGCCTGAGCTCCTCGTAGTCGTTCAGAGCAGCACTGAGGTCCCAGTTTTTACCTAAACAAAAGTCAACAAAAACACGTTACTGTTACATGTGCGTCAGGTTTACAGCAGGGAGGCACCGATACGATACTGGGATCAGATATCGATTCAGCCGATATCCCATTTTGGTCTATAAACTGTGTAATAAGACGATTTACTGGACAATGTTGGTCTAAAACATCTTGTAATATTTCATCCTGGTTTAGTCCTGGTTCAGACCTGATTTAGTCCTGGTTTAGTCCTGGTTCAGACCTGATTTAGTCCTGGTTTAGTCCTGGTTCAGACCTGATTTAGTCCTGGTTCAGAACTGATTCAGAACTGATTTAGTCCTGGTTTAGTCCTGGTTCAGAA